TACATAATTTTAATATATTAATCTAAGAATACATGATCTCCATGAATGAATAAAATTTTATTGCTTTTTATTCTTAAAAATATAAATTTAAATATATTAAATATGTTTTTAGAGGTATTCTCATGAAAAGACATTCGCGTACACACACCGTAGTAGAAATACGGAGTTCTGAACATGTCCGAAAAAAAAATTATATGATTTTTTTTAATGTTATAATTATAATATAAATAAAATTATAAAATTATAATTATGATGTAATATTAAATAAAATATAATGTAATATTAAACAATTTAATATATAATATTATAAATAATTTTTAAAATAAAAAATTAATTTTTTTAAAAAAATTATATACATTTATTATATTACATTACATGATATTATAATTATAATATTTTTTTTCTTGAAAAATAAACAACATAATGATATATTTGATTTTTGAGAGAAATGAGATTATAACCAACACACCAGATCAAATGGGGGTAAAAATTTATTTTTAATCCCTCATTTTATCAAGTTTGAAAGTTTTAGTCTCTTATCTTATATTATAACACTTTTAACCCCTACTTTATTAAGTTTGTAGGTTTTAATTCTTCACTTATTAAAATTAAAAAAAATAACCATCACTTTATATTGACTATTAACTCTGTTAGCCGAAAGTAGATTTTTATTAATTAACAGTCAACTAATAGTCAATTAATAAAGTTAACGAAATTTGATAAAATTAATTTTGTTAATTCTATTAGTTGAAAAAAAGTTTTTGACAGTTAATAATTAACTAATAGTTAATTAATAAAATTAACAGTCAACTAATAGAACTAATAAAATGTTATAAAATGAGAGTTGTTTCTTTTAATTTTAATAAATGATGAATTAAAAATATTATAATATAAAGTAAGATGTTAAAACTTATAGATTTAACAAAATCAAAAATTTAAAATATTATAATATAAAATGAAATACTAAAACCTTCGTATAAGTGGTTAAAAATAGGCTTTCGCCGATCAAATTGTGCCTGACCTCAAAATTCATATGCACATACGCCTCTGGCCGGACCCACCCCAATGAATGCTACCGCTCTGCGGCGACCTCCCATGTTAGTGCCAGTCCCCATCTTGGGTGTACATAATGACATTTCATTCATTCATTCAACCACCTAATAATTCTTCTCTGAATCTACTAAGTACCAGTTTTCCGGAGAAAAATGAAGAGTAAAGGCGTAGCTACCTCGATATTGATATCGAAACCGTCCACAACGGTGAAGAAACATGGCTCAGTGGCTGCTGCTGTACTTGGGAAGAGTAGGTACAAATTCTGGATATTGGCCGTCCTCCTACTCCTTGCTTTCTGGTCCATGTTCACCGGCTCTGTTTCCCTCAAGTGGTCCTCTACCAATCTCACCAGATTCTCCGACGACGACCCCCTCAATTTCTCTAACCACGACGATCTCGACATCCTTGTAATCTATCCATCTCCAGCAACATGCTTCTAGTTCGATCTTTTATAGGTTTGTTATTGTGGTTTGAAAATTTTGCTTCGTCGGTTTTTTATTTTGAACAGGAATTGGAGGAGAGAGAGGTGGTGGTGAGGAAGATGTGGGATGTGTACACACAGAGAGCTACTACGCCGCTGACGAGGTTTTGGCTGGAAGCTTTTGAAGCTGGTTATGAGTATCTATCCAGTGATGCTCCGGAAGTCCGAGATGCTGCCATTTCTGAGATCGCCAAACTATCCATGCGCTCCGTCAATCTAGATCCCTTCTCTGTTCATTCCACACGGTTAGCATCACTCTGTTCCTGGCACCCATACCGTTCTCTGTTTCTTATTTTTGGATGTTCCTGTTGCCCATTTTGGTGCTATGGAACTAATTGTATTCTAGATGACTAATGTTCTTATGCCGTGCAGAGGAGAAGACAAGACAGAAGTGCTTCCGATCAAGAGAAGAGAAGAATAAGGTTGTGTTCGCAGTCATCTAGATAGCTTAACAAGAATTCCGATCTTGTTTGCAGTTTGAAGGAAATGACAATGAGATCGAATGTGCAAAACTTGCCCCTTCCAGATTTCAAGAAAGATTAGCATAAATAAGATCAGATTACACTTCCAATTTCCTTCATTGTCTATTGGTGATGTAGTATATACTAAATTGAACTGTAAAAATGAATGCTTTACCATATGCAGATGAGCTTTCGCTTCATCTTAGTGTAGCATGTTATAAGATGCCAAGGGTAGAAGGAACGCTAAAATTGAGTGCCAAACTAGATTGATTTCATAAAAGTAAAACTGGCTCAAGTTGACCGTGGAAAAGTAACAGAATAATAATTAAAAAAAAAATTCTTACACGGGGAATTGTTACATCACAAAAATTGCTTGAGCAGGGTTGAATTAGTGCTGCTGCATATTTGGCTCTCTTGTAAATCTTGGAAACCAAGAAACCTAACTTCAACATTTACAAACAGTTAAGGGAAAATGTATTTACAGTTCTCAAACCACTTTCAATCTTCCACCGTTTGAATCTCCCCCATCATGATTCGGTTGCTCACAACATTAAATCCCAAGGCCGATGGATTCACTTTCTTCCCTTTCTTTCCCTTTTTCTTGCCACCTCCTTTGGTGGATCCATCCACAATATCTCGATCATAGTCATCAGCACCTGTATTGTCAGAATTCATTTCTCCAGCACCTATCCCGGTGTTTCGATCATTCCGACTTTGAAAGGCCATCTCAAGTACGTCAGCTGGTAACAAATCCTTGTAGTCGAGAAATTTCTCAATGAACTCATGATTAGGATCATACGATCCAAGGTTCTCCACCATGAATGTCTCAGCCTCTGATCTGGATTGCTTCAGACAAAATTCCAAGAAACTTGTATCTAGCAAGGAGGAAGCAAGAGAAAACAATGTAAGATAAATTAAAAGACCGACCCACCTTCTAGGGTTAAAAGGAAATTTGAAAAATCAGAAAACAATCAGTGTGGAGAGATCCAAAATAAAAAATAAAGATGTATAAGAGATTACCTCTCGTCCCAATAAGTCTAACACACTCATTTTCGCACCAATGTCTAAAATCCATGGCCTCTGTGAAGGAGTAAAAATTAAAAGGTATGATAATTCTTCTATCATGGTAAGCTAAATAACTCACCCGAATACTTGATCAAGGAATATCATGGACAGAGTTTTAAAAAACAGAAGCACTACTGAATGTGGCAGTGACAAATAATCAGATCACACTGAATAAAAAGATACACAAACAGATTGTGAAATCTAACTTACCTGAATACTTGATCAAGGAATTCTTCTTCCCTTTAATAGAAGACTGGGCAGGAGGCAAGGATGAGCCACTTGTTGACTTCTGCCGGTTTAGGGATCCACTCGCAGGTCCTTTTAAAGGAGTATTTTTGGCTCCCCAACTGCTCGCATTTGCAAGAAGAGGGTACTCAGCTCTGTTCATAATGAAAAATGACAACCAGTTACTCATTTGTTTAATGAGTGAAACTGAAACTCAACAGATACGTTAAAACCCCCATAAGCACATTACAAAGTTTGTCGAACCAGAGCACTAATGTGTTCAAATTCATGCTTCTGATATATTAAAAAGGCAAAAAATAAAAGGTTAAAACGGTAAAGAACTAATCTGAAACTAGATTGAAAACAGAGCATTGACCGAAAAGGCAACTGATTGGCCAATTTATGAATTCAATGCAGCAAGTACTAGGCAAGACTAACCAATCAAGGATATTCTTTAAATGTGTGCAGGAAAAGAAGGGATGGGTGTGTGTGTGTTTTGGTTTTTTTTTTTTTTTCCCTTTTTTTTTTGGGGGGGAGGGGGGTGTTAGAAGAAATAAGATAGATGAGAACATTACTTTTTTGTTTCTTGCTTTGTCTGCTCAATTGGGCCCCAAAATAGGTCATCATCTCCTTTATACTTTGACTGAGGGGATGCATGGGAATTTATCTGGATAGGAGAAGCAACCTTTGATGGTGAAGAAGCAGATATGGACCATGATGCACTGTGAATGGCCTGATTTGGCTGGGACTTTTGAGGAGTTGGAATTTGATTTTGGGGCTGGATAGAAGAATTCTTTTTCTCCTGTTCCTTTTGGATGTCTCTCAAGGATGTAGGTTTTGGAAGCTTCTTAGATTCAGTAGACCATGCAGGAGCAGGGAGCAGATTTGCTGAATCCCCACCCTTCCAAAGAACAAAATCTCCTAAAGAAGGACCTGAAGGAACTGGAGGCAATAATTCCTTCTCCTGCTGTACAAGGCGGGAACCTTTTCCTTTCTCAACAGGACTTGTGCCAACAGGCACTTCAGCAGAAGTAGCAGGAACTGAGACTTTTGCCCCACCACCCTTTACTTTTGCAGACTTTTTCCTACTCTTCTTTGTTTCTTTAGCCTCAATAAAGTTATCATCATCAACAGCCTCTGTATTTGTACTTGTAACCTGTTGAGAAGACAAACTAGATAAACTATTTGGAAGTTCAATATCCCTCTCGCTAGACTTTGACAAAACTTCTTCTGCCAAGAGATCATGCAACTGGCTCTTTTTACTTGGATTTGCAGAGTTTTTGGGTTTTCCCAGATTCAACTCAGAAATAGTTGCATCTCTTTGATTTTCTTGAGAAACTTTGGGTTCAGAAGAGGCCACAACTCCAGCCCATGGAGTTGGCAAACTCATGGAGTTGACAGATGTTGTAACCTCCAGTACAGCCGTTTCGGCTTGTGCCCTCCTTTGTTCTTCCTGTTGAATTTCCAATAATGACTTTGGCTTGAAACCTGGAGCAGGCTTCCAAGCACTTTGAATGGGATGTGTTGGTGCACTCTGGCCTGAGACAGAACCAGAAGAAAGCCTGGAGTCACCTTGGACTTCCGTTGTCTCAACATTGACACCAGCAACAGTAGCAGTCAATGGACTTTTAACATAATCAGAACCCCCCATTCCAATGGTTGCAATATCAGGTTTGCTATCTAATGTCTTTTGTGGTGATGTTCCATAAAGATGTGCAACATTAGTGTCACCAACAGTTGATCCTTGGAGTTCAGATTGCTTTGATTGAGATGAAGAGGAAGCTTGGGAAACCCCCTTTGCCTGGTCAGAACATTGCGACTTGCTGGATTTTTGTTTTCTGGATTTCTTTTCAGAAGCCTTTCTTACCTCACGCACATCAACACTCTTAGCTTGTGAAACCACTGCGCGCTGGTCATTGCTTCCTTCTTTCTCCACTTCCAGTTCCTCAACAGCAACAACTGGCTGAAAAGTCTCTTTGTTGATGTTCTCAGAAACAAGAGTTTCAATCTTACCAGTTCTCAATGATGGTGCAGAGGCAGGAACTACAGGATGCTCCACAGGCACACGATCTTTAGTATGTAGTGCAGTTTCAGTTGGGGCAGTTTCAACATTCTGCAAACCCAATGATTGATGGTCTGGCATAAAGGAGTGACAATCAGATGGAAGGGCCGGTTTTTGGAAAAGAGAAGGCTCCTGGGAAGATAAGGTTGTCGATCCTGACAAGGGTGAGCTTTCAACAATTGTTGGTGCAGGTAAAGATTCCTCCTGTTGCATATCATTAATTTGCTCCAAGGTAGTAGCTTCCCAGCTCTTCTGATGACTTGTATTCCCAAAAACCTGGTGTGGCAAATGTATGGACCCATCAGGCATGACAGTGTGGATGACATCCTGGGTAACTTGTGGATGCATTTTGATGTTAGCATCAAGCTCATCTTTAGCACTTGCAAGTGGTATTTGAGAACCAATTTGAAGCAAATCTTGTGATGTTTGAAGCCTAGTGGGATCTGAAGATGCATTCCCTAGAGGCACCGCAGCAGCATGTAACTGTCCATAAGAGGACTCAGCAAAACGCTGGTGAGAATGCTGCTCAACTAAGACCTTAGAAAGCAACTGTTGTTGCCGCAATAGCTGCTGCTGCTGCTCCTCTTGTTTCTGTTGCTGCTTAAGCAGCAAGAGTTTATTCAACACAGACAGTTGCTGGGTTGGAACTTGTGCCTGAGACTGTAATTGAATTAAATACTGCTGCTGCAACATATTCAGCAGTTGTTGGTCTTGGGATAAACCTGAAGAGATCAACTTTTCCTGCGTTAAAATACCAGATGGATTATCTGTAGTTTGACCAAGCAAATTTGGCAAAGAGGTTGGGTTTTGTGATTGCAGCCTCGCTTGTTGGATCCCAAAGGTAGCTTGTGGAGGAAAACTTGGAGAATGGGGTAACTCAATCTTATCCTGAAGTGGATCCAATCCACCTTGGACAGGAAAATTGGACCAACCACCAACACCATTATTTATGCCAGCAGCAGATCTGTCAGATAATCCCTGGAGGATGGACATCAAATCAGCATTTTGAGAGTGAGAAGGCTGAAGAGAGTTGTCAGTCATTGATGACAGCAATTTTGCATGTGGTACTGGTGAATCAGAGACAATATCCGACTTTGATACAATAGGTGCAGCATCTCTCCCCGGCCAATAAGGATAAGAATTTGGCAAAGACCTCTGTCTTTCAACTGTCAATTTCTTAGCCAAGAGGTAGAGATCACTTCCACTTTCTACTCCAGACACAGGCATGCTATTGCTAATTGAATTATTTGCAATGTAGCCTTGCAGACCTGGAGGAAATTCCATTTAAGAAATGTTAGCCGGTGGCTGGTTACAAATGGCAGAACACCCAAAATTAACTACAGTTGATAGTTAGGCAAACTGACTAATTATATTAAAAATTAAGTTAAAAAACAATAAAACAAACCTTGAGCTGGATTGCTCATTGTACTGGACATTAGAGACTCCAAGAACCTATTTTCTGCTTCTGTGGTTGAGCTGTGGCTAACCCTTGGCTCATTTCTGACCATATCAACTTCACTTACACCAGCATGAACCTTTCCAAAGCTACTAAAATTTGACCTGCTTGATGCATCTGTAAGTTCACTCTGTTTTAAACTGCCAAATCCAGGTGGTGGTCGAGCTTTAGCTCGCAAGTGGGGCATAACATCACCAAGTGAAATAAATGGTGACTCCTTGGGTGCATTAGCAAGCCGAACTTCCAGATCTATCCCAAAATATCCAGCCTCAAACCATCCTATGATATCAATACCAGAAAAAGGACCTTGAATTTCACCTTGAGGATCTCTGTAGAAAAGGACTAGCTCCTCTGGAGCAAGCTGTGGCAGCTTTCTAGCTTCAAGTTCCCTTTCCAAAACCCCAGATGGCTGCCTTTTTATAATGGGATCCCCACTAATTTGCCAATTTGCTTCATCTTTGGAATAAAATGAATTTGTGATATTACTTTCTTGGTTAACTGGATCTTTCTGTGGTTGCGACCAGCTCATATCAGATCTTCTTGACTGGACATCACCCGGGATATCCTTCCAATCATGTGACACAGCATTTGGTTGTTCACCCATTGATGATGCCCGCCAAATAGAGCTAGGACTAGAAGAGTTCATTACCGGCACACTTGATTCCCTGCCGATGGACATTTCATCAACCTTTCTATAAGGACCACCATCATCCCTAGCTGCAAATATAGAGTATAGGGATTTCCATCACAGAACTAATCACTTTTAAGCTAAAGGCAAGATACCACATTGACAAAGCAAAAAAGAAGCATATTCAGATAAGAGTTATTAAAAAGAAAAGAAAAACGAACTTCCCTAAATGCTACAGATTTATAACCCCCCCAAAAGAAAATGACAACTTAGATTTAACTTGAAAATAATCAAACCAAGAATCAAATCAGATTACCAACTCCTGAGCCTACAATTCTATTGACAGTAATTCATCTATCTTCAGTGCAACGGAAAAAGCCTGCAGAACCATGTCTTAATTCCAAAGGACTTGGGGCAGGCAGCAGGTGGCAGGCCACATGAATTGTCATCCTTCATTCCACCAGATAGAGTGCAGATTGATCGAAAGATCTTCACATCCAACTAATCTATTTAAAGTCCCACACTGTAGAGACTTAGGAAGAACAAATTTAACTGGAAACTACATGCACAATGGATATGCATAGTCAAACAAAATCATACTATATAACCAGTGGACCAAGCAAAGCAGTATATGTCAATATACCTTCAGCTTTAAATCTAATATCAGTGTATCCTTTAAGCTTTCCAAGAGATGAAACCTCAGAATAATTGGCATAACCACCTTTTGAAGTATCATTCTCATCTTTGCAGTCCTCAAGCGCTAACTGCAAATCTTCTTTGCTCCCTGCTCAGACAAGTCAATTCCCAAGAGGTTACTCTACCTTAAAATATGCATAAATATAAATTAATAATATCTTCAACAGGTGGAATACCAATCTTGGCTTGTCTTGATTGAGAATAATCCATAGAGTTCCGTCCCATTGATCCATCTTTAGAAATCTGAGCCGCACCACTACTTGTTATGTCTCCCTGTAGAATTCCCTTCAAGACAATCTATACAACAAGCAATAAATCCCCTGGGGAAAGCATAAATAAAATCACTGGGAAACTGTGATGACACATAAATGCTAATTACCATTTCCTCAGAATTGGGAGCACTAAGAGCCAGAGGTTCCTGAGGCTCATTCTGTGTAAGAGAAGGCACTGATACAAGCCCATCCAAAAGTTTTTGATGAGCTCTAACGTCAGTTTTCCTGTACAAGTCAAGCAATTTTGTCCTACCATATCTTAAAGGGGAGGCTTCCCCCTGGCCACTTTCAGGCTTGTCTGATATGATTACCATAGACTGATGATGTGAAATGGCAGTCATTGAGTTCCCACCAGAAATCCCCCTTCCACGACTAGCAGAAAATGTTGGAGGAGTGTTTTCTCCACGTCCTCTGCCATAGGGATATGTAGAAACCTGCTTGTTTGGTGTTAGTGTTTGATGATGAAGATGCTCTCCTCTTCCTCGGCTCTGAGAAGAGTTGGATCTCCATGGCCGATAATGATCCCCCTCTCGCTCATCCTTCCCGTAACTAGGAAGAGGAGACAACCCTTTATCCAGAGATGTGTCACCATCTCTGACAGAATCTGTCCACTTGTCACGCAAACTTTCTGTGTCTTTCTCATCATGTCCCCAGCGCGTGTTCCATTTGCTCTCACGTCGTTGATCATAATTAGAATCCCTGTTACCAGAATCAGTCCACCGCTCAGATGGAGCACGGCGTGCTTCTCCAAAGTGCCGTGTTAACAAGTTATCAGGCCATCTATCCATCCTGCGGGTGTCAGTAAGCTCTTTATCTCCATCCCTCCAGCGATCTTTGCGCATGGAAGAATGGGTGTCCCGTTCTTCATCACGCCAGCGATCACGGCGACCAGTTTCCATATCAAGCAAGGATGATGGTCGGAAAACATCCTTCTTCTTTGGGATATCATGCATCTCCCCATCATTTCCAGTTGGCTTCGAGATGTCAGTGCGATTTCCATGAGCTGGATATGGGCTGGGATGGCTATCCTGTACAGAAGACATAATAAAAACTTTTTCTCTTAGAAAAGAAAAAAAAAATTGGACCTTTTGAGGCATAAACAAGATGGAACTGCACAAATTCTCAATATGATAATCCATGTCTGAAAAATTGAAGATGCACTTCAAAAACTTAAAGAGTTACAAGTCATCATGAATCTATTAAAAAGAACATTAAGAAAGATAGTCAAAAAAGAAACAATGACACACCCCTGTTCCCACTCCTGGCTTAGTCTCCCCATATTTTGGCTGAAGCCACTGTGGTGAAAGTGGGATAGCATTGTCAGGTCCCTGAACATCTGCATAAAACAAAAAGAGAGGTAATATAAAATTTGATAAATACACAAAGAAGCATCTAAAGGCAATAGCTTAGGCACTTAGCTACAAAACTGAATGCGCACCACATAATTCAGCACAAAATTGGTAGTAACATAGCATTTAACAATTCAATCCCTAATTGTTTGTGAGGCTTTTCTTTTAACAATGCTCTCAGTGAATGGTCATCTGCCAATAATGTACAAACTTGATCCCATGCCGGAACCATATTTCCTAGAAGATCTAGCAGTAATGTGTCTGTAAAACAATATGCATTTAAAGTACAAATCACGCATAGATAGTAAGACATGCATCATCAAAAGGTCAGGGCTTTAGGCCTATCAGACTCATATGGATGGTAGGGAATAGTAGAAATTGACAGTAGAAAAATCTTGAAAGCAGCTAACAGAAATGGCGCTAACAAGCAAAGAAAAACGTCAAAACCTCGCATTTCAAAACGGTAAGCCAAAAACCCTAACTTTCAACTTCAAATTCAACCAAAACATACACTAATCTACAGAGAACCACAGAATCGGTGGAAACGAGGTCAGAGCAGACAAAAC